TGAGACCAAGAAATCGCAAATACAACTATAAAAAACATACAAAAAAAAAAACACTGCAGAGTTGCTGTTTTAATCAAAAATTATGGTCTCAGTTTTTTCTCTCATTATGCACTGTGTGCTGCAGAATTTGTTTTATGGGGTGCACACATACCACATAGATGTATTTTCTCACATCTAGGCCCAATTTTACCGCTCACAGCTTATCAGAGTGAGCTGAACTCATGGCGTAGATCTACGGTTTGGACCCTGAAAGGGTTAATCGAAATGCCATTAATTCGTTCCAGATGAATTCCTGCTCTCAGGAGGCATACCTGGAGAGAGTTTACCTGGAGAGAGTTCCGGGGTCAACGCCCCCGCGGCCCGGTCTGTGACCAGGCCTCCTTAGGTCAGTGTCCCAGGATGCGACCCACACCAGTCGACTAACACCCAGGTACCCATTTTACTGATGGGTGAACATAGACAACAGGTGGAAAGAAACACGTCCAATGTTTCTACTCTGGCTGGGAATCGAACCCAGGCCCTCACCGTGTGAAGCGAGAGCGTTAACCACCAGGCCACCAGAGACCTGACATGACAAAATAACCCTAATATCAATTCTACAGCTTATTTATTTGTCACAATTCATCTAATATAAATAAGATAGAAAGCTGAAATACACTCTAGAATGAATAAAATATACCATTATGTGGGCAGCAGAGGGAGGAGGATTGTGGTCAAACATTCTAGCTATCAAAAAGTCAGAAGTGTTATAAGAGAAAACGGAGTTTGTGAGACTAACTGAATTAGATCTGGTGTACATACGACATTTACATACCTTGGAGAAGAAATGCAGAGCGGCATATCTTTTCTTACTGTACTGTTTACCTGGAGATTACCTGGAGAGAGTTCCAGGGGTCAATGCCCCCACGGCCCGGTCTGTGACCAGGCCTCCTGGTGGATCAGAGCCTGATCAACCAGGCTGTTGCTGCTGGCTGCACGCAAACCAACGTACGAGCCACAGCCCAGCTGGTCAGGAACCGACTTTAGGTGCTTGTCCAGTGCCAGCTTGAAGACTGCCAGGGGTCTGTTGGTAATCCCCCTTATGTATGCTGGGAGGCAGTTGAACAGTCTCGGGCCCCTGACACTTATTGTATGGTCTCTTAACGTGCTAGTGACACCCCTGCTTTTTATTGGGGGATGGTGCATCGTCTGCCAAGTCTTTTGCTTTCGTAGTGAGTGATTTTCGTGTGCAAGTTCGGTACTAGTCCCTCTAGGATTTTCCAGGTGTATATAATCATGTATCTCTCCTGCCTGCATTCCAGGGAATAAAGGTTTAGGAACCTCAAGCGCTCCCAGTAATTGAGGTGTTTTATCTCCGTTATGCGCGCCGTGAAGGTTCTCTGTACATTTTCTAGGTCAGCAATTTCACCTGCCTTGAAAGGTGCTGTTAGTGTGCAGCAATATTCCAGCCTAGATAGAACAAGTGACCTAAAGAGTGTCATCATGGGCTTGGCCTCCCTAGTTTTGAAGGTTCTCATTATCCATCCTGTATTGCTAATGCATCCACTGAATATTTAATATCTTATTAGAACAATATTGATGTGTCTGATTATAATTAAAACAATACTGACGTTACGATCATTCAACATGTTAGGTCATGTCAGATAAAAAAATGTTATGACTCCAAGTGAATCCATACATAGTGAAACCTGTACTGAAATAACCTCACTGTACAATGTACATACTGCATGTTGAGACATTCTATGCAAAAGATGACAAAATACAGAGAAAGCATTCATGTTAAAACTCTTTCAATCAATAAAGCATAAATGCTCCATTCAGCAAGGAGCATTAGGCTGTGAAGGTGTAAACACAGGAACATGATGACAAGTAACGGCAGACAAAGATGAAGACTGGAAGGAGTGAGGAAACAATACACAATGGAAATTAACAGTTGCGGAGGCATTGCAGTGAATTTTTTTTAACACACTGCCCGTCTCCCACTGAGGTAGGTGACCACTGCTCATTCCATCACTGTTCTGCCAGAGGTACACCAATACTACAGTTCAGATGCCCCTCCAAACAGTAACATACTCACCACTCCCTCAGAGTGCAGGCACTGTATTTCCCACCTCCAGGGCTTAAGGCCAGTTAACTGGATTCCCTGAATCCCTTCAAAAGAAGTCACCTTGCTCATGCTCCAACAATACATCAAGTCATAAAAACCACTTGCTTCTACTCACTTCTGTCTAACATGCTCACATACACCTTTTGGATGTTCAATCCTCTCGCATACAAAAACAAAGCTTTTACCCCTTCCCTCCAACCTTTCTTAGGACGACCCCTACCCTCCATTACAGATTTATACTTCCTCCAAGTCATCCCACATGTTAAAGAAACAAGATGTTAAATAATAAACACTGTAACACATTCTTTATTTGTAGCTGAATCCCGAAACAAACAACCTGAATATACTGCTGAAAGAAAATGTATTTTTATGTAGGGTTTGATGAATCAGTAGGAGCACAACCAGCCCACACTTCTCTATACCCACCAAAATAAATTTCTACCAATTTGTAGCTCAGTAAGACTAATCCTCCTATTTTCTTTATCATCTTCATTCTAGTTGTCTATGTCTGGCAGAGATGAATCCCGTCCAGCTAAAGCTAGGGAAGATCATTTCAGCAGTGCTGAAAACATCTTGCATTGGGACATGGTGGTCTCTGTGGTTCATCGAACCTTACTCAGAAATGTACAGTAGACCACTGCTTAACGCAGCAGTTATGTTCCTGAAAATGCCGTTTTAGTTAAAACTGTGTTAGACAAACTGAAGAACTTATGGGAAAAATAGGGTTACGTTCCAAGAAGCCCCCAAAAAGCCAAACATCTTTTTTTTAGACCAACAGTTCTTACAAAAATAAAAGTGAATATGTAATTGTAGTTCATTGTTGTGATGCAATTTGTTGTTTTTACTACTTAAGATTACAAATGTAACAGAAATAATAATAGTATTTTTTACCTAAATTGTGGGTACCGGTGTTTGTAGATGATTGTGGAGAGTGGAGAGTTATGCTGTGGCCCTACTGGGCTGAGGTGGATGGCAGAGGTTTTGGTATTGAAGTCGATGGTTGTACTGGAGAGTGCATAAATTCTGTAATGGATTTCTGTTCTATTTTACCCCACAGTACATTATACAATTGAAGGTAAGGCATCAGCTGCTCTAGACACTGTTTCAGGGTCCGTCTTCAGTGACAAAGTCTAACTTTAAGTCAGTCAGTAAATCAGTCAAGTCAGTAAGTCAAGTCAGTAAAGCCAGTCAGTAAGTCAAGTCAGTAAGTCAAGTCAGTAAAGTCAGTCAGTAAGTCAGTCAATTGGTCAGTCAGTAATCCAGTCAGTCAGTCAGTCAAAGTCAAAGTCAAAGTCAGTCAGTCAAAGTCAAGTCAAGTAAGTCAGTCAGTAAGTCAGTCAGTAAGTCGGTCAGTAAGTCAGTCAGTCAAGTCAGTAAGTCAGTCAGTCAAGTCAAGTCAAGTAAGTCAGTCAGTAAGTCAGTCAGTAAGTCAGTCAGTCAAGTCAGTAAGTCAATCAGTCAAGTCAGTCAAGTCAGTCAAGTCAGTCAAGTCAGTAAGTCAGTCAAGTCAGTAAAGTCAGTCAGTAAGTCAAGTCAGTCAATTGGTCAGTCAGTAATCCTGTCAGTCAAGTCAGTCAGTCAGTAAATCAGTCAAGTCAGTAAGTCAGTCAGACAAGTCAATAAGTCAGTCAAAGTCAGTCAGTCAGTCAATCAAGTCAGTAAGTCAATCACACAAACTCATATTTACCTCATTCTTATGTGCACAAAGTGACGCTTCATTACGGACACAGGCTATCTCTTGTCTAATACATGTATCTCTATTTTCTTCATTCTAAGACCCTAACGCTTATACCTTTTCTTGCCACTTTCAGCAACATTTGTATGCCTACTGGGTGCCATGATTGCTTGGCAGATTTATGATATGGCAATTAAAAGATCTAAACTCCTAGCAGAGGGTGGTATGTACTACACGCGTATGAACCAAAGACTGGGACAAGGGTGGTGGGGGATGGTGGTAGGTCTCTCCCATTGACTCAATGGTCTAACCAATAGCCAAGCAGAGTGTATCCCGTGGGCGATGCACGCTCAAAATTTTTTCCCCTCCCACAAAGTGAACCATGTTAAGTAAATTTTACAAAGTGTTATACAAAAATATGCAGCAATTCTTCAATAGTGCTATAACCAAAACATGCCAAACAAAACATTGTTAAAAGATGGTCTACTGAACATCTTGCATTTCAAAGCTAAGCATATACTACTGAATTTCTATTATGGATTGTGATAAACCACTAGCAAGCCTCCAAACATGACCCCAAGTAATGGTGAAGGCAGCTGTAAAAGAGGCAGGAAATACAAATATCATAGCAGAGATGGAAAAATCACAATTCACTGTTTGCCAAAGCTGAATGATGGCTTTCTTGCCTCCTGCTGACAACCATTTCATCAGCTGAGTCTAGAAATGTCATAATTCTATATAGAAAACAAACTGGCAACAGCCTATCTTACAAAATTTTCACATTTTTAACGAGTACAGTCAACTTGCCCTAGTCCTAACAGAAACATCGATTTCACATTGCCTGTGCTTATGCCATTTTTTTCTACATACCCTCTTCAGGCAAGATTACATTAGGTTAATGTCAAATACGTAATTAAATATAACCAAGTAGTATATATATAACATGTAAGAACACAAGAACAATTATGCATAAAAGCATAGCTGCATTCTGATTTGAAACAACATGGGGAACCAATGAGATGATAAATGAAGCATGACAATAAAGCCTTAACATTTACATTTAGTGCCACAGTAAGGTACTGTTTAAGAGTATGGGTTGCTGAGGAAGATGGAAATTTAGCAGAAAATTGGCATTACCAGACACACTTTTCCTATTAGTCCCTTAACTTGAGGTAACAAGAACCTGAAGCTAATCAGACAAAGTAAGTAATGACCAACCTGCAAATGGTGAAAACTCATCGTTTTGATCTCTAACATCCTGGCGTCTGCGTTGTACTGCTTTCTGCGCTCGTTGCCGATACAGAATGTACACCTGATCCTCTAGAGCACTGATCTCTGGCACCTGCCAACAGAATGTTTCTGTTATTCACTTTCTTTTAGGCAGTTATTATTTGAGTAAATATAACTGGCTTTAAAAAAAAAAATTTTTTTCTTATTGTTATAAGAAACTGTGCATTTGGGAGAAAGATATATTATATCTGGACATAAAATTAATTTATGGGAAAATTTTATATCTGCTACTTTCATAAGGGATGTCACAGGCAAAATAATCACTAAATGGCACCTAACAAATTTTAATTCTGGGTAAAAATTTCTTACCTGCAAGACTCCTAATACACTTCTTTGAACTCGGAGTAATAACAGCTGTTTCTAATGTGCTCTCACCAAACCCACCCACTTCCCTTCCCCACATCACAGCAGCCAAGAAACACCAATAGAAGCGTAGGGCATGTTTTCTTACACCCGTTGTCCATGTTCACTTAGCAGTAACAAGGTACTGTAAAGCCTCAACACAATGGACTAATAGGGTGAAATTTCAGTGTTTGTTAAAACATAAAAAAAAAAAAAAAAAAAAAAAAAAAGACAAAGTGCTCTACTGTACACCTTATATAGTAGTGTACACACAATTTACATATATACTACTTTAAACACTGAAAATAGATAGTTTTAAGTGCAATTTATCCAGTGGATTTTGTCCATTATTTCAGTAATCCAATATATAAAGGGATTACTGTACCTGGGTGTTAGTGGGCAATTTTGGGTTATATGCCAAGAAGGGTGCTAGTATACCTTAGATCAAGCCTGGCTTTAAAAATCACCTGAGATAGGATAACAATTATTAGCCTGTAAATTAAAATCTATAAAAAAAATTACCTCCAAACCCCACTAACCCCCTTCCTCCCATACACCTTGATAAAACTTTTTAAGTTATTTACTCATCATGAATATATTATTTAAGTAGCTATTTTTATGAATGAGAGTTTATTATGGTAGTGTGATTAGTATGGTGGCCTATGCCACCATTGCTTATGTATTAACTTCATCCATTTATGACTTAAAAAAAAAGTCTAGGAAAAACATTAGTGTCTTTACAGTGTGTTGAGAGAGAAATGAAGCTCCCATTATAGTAATTATTATTGGGAAGCTCTAAACCCATATAAATCAAAGTCTTAAAGCTGCCACAGCAACGGAAATTAAATAATTTTTTAAATTACAGTATAGTCGAACCTCGGTTGTCAATAAATCGGTTTTTGAATCAAGTGTTTGAGAACAAAATGTCCTGGTTTTTGTATGTTTTCTTGGTTGTCGACAAGATCACTTTTTATTGAGTGGGTTCATGAGGTCTTTTCTCCCACTGTCAAAAAGTACCTCATTAAAAAATAATTGCCACTTGGTCCTTTTACTTATGGATAATGCTCCTGCTCACCCTTCAAGCTTGGAAAACGTGTTGCTGGAGGAGTTCAGTTTTATAACTGTTAAGTTCTTGCCTAGGTCTTGCCTCCTAACACCACTCCTCTCATCCAGCCCATGGATCAGCAGGTCATTTCTAACTTCAAGAAACTCTACACCAAAGCACTTTTTGAAAGGCACTGTGAAGTCACTTCAGAAACAAATTTAACCCTCAGGGAGTTCTGGAAGGGCCAATTCAATATCCTCACTTGCTTGAGGCTTAAAGACAAAGCCTGGGGGAATGTGTCTTCCAGGACCATGTAGTCAGCATGGAAGAAATTGTGGCCTGACTTTGTAGCAGCCAGGGATTTTGAAGGTTTTGAAGATGAGCCTGAGCCAGTAGAGGATATTGCATCCTTGGGAAAGACCTTGGGCCTAGAGTTGACTGAAGATGATGTGGAGGAGTTGAAGGAGAATAGAACTGAACTCACCACAGAAGAACTTCTAGACCTTCAGAAGGAGCAGCAACAGATTGCAGTGGAGGAGCTGTCATCAGAAGAGGAGAAAAGGGATGATGTGCCCATTGCACTTGTCAAGGAAATGTGTGCTAAATGGTATGAAGTGCAGGAGTTTGCTGTAAAAATATGAGCCAAAGCAGAGGTCATCCATCTCTCTCTCTAACATGTACAATAACAGTGTGTCTAGGAAACAAACAAACCTCACTGGACAGGCTTTTAGTGAGACAAAGTACGTGGTGAAAAAAAAACAAAGAGGAGAAACAACACCACAAGGACAGTTATTTGACACATTAACAGAAGGTGACTCTCCTTCCAATCAGTAACATACCCCCTCCTCTCCTCCACCTCCTGCTTCCAATATGCTATTAGCTCTCCTCTAGTTGGTAAGGGGGAGTAAAATTTTCATTTACCGTACAGTATTTCAGTTAAATTTTAATTTAGTATTCATTTTTTACAGTTTTCCTGTGCTGTATAATTTTATACATTGTTCTTTGTAGTAGTTAGTACATTATTAACCCTCTGAGGGTCCGTGGCATAGATCTACGGCTAGATGTTGAGGGTCCAAACCGTAGATCTATGCCATGAACTCAGCTCACTCTGATAAGCTGTGAGCGATAAACTTGGGCCTAGATGTGAGAGAATACATCTATGTGGTGTGTGCACCCCATAAAACAAATCCTGCAGCACACAGTGCATAATGAGAGAAAAAAAACTGAGACCATAATTTTCGATTAAAACAGCGACTCTGCAGTGTTTTTTATGTTTTTTTATAGTTGTATTTGCGATTTCTTGGTCTCATTTGATAGAATGGAAGATATGTTACAGAAATGGAGATAATTTTGATTGGTTTTAGTAATGGAAATGGGTTGAAACTGAGCTCAAAATAGCAGAAATGTTAAATTTTTGCCGATGTTCAAGACTAAATAAATAATCCCACACATCTAATACACGCCAGCCGGTGGGTCTAATATACGTTCACAAATGTGATATTATTTATGCAATTATTACAGTATTGCATAACAGTAAATCATCTATTTTTTTGGTTTGAATAAAAATTCATTATGTGAATAAAAAATCAAAATGGAATTCATTTGTAAAGCCTCAAAACATAGCTAATGAACAGAGGAAATGTTAGTTTAGTTCCAGGAATGCCTGCATTGTTTATTCTGAACCCTGTTTTGAAATTTGGCCTTTGGACCCTGAAAGGGTTAATATATTATATTGTCATTTCAGGTCTGGAACAGATTAATTCTATATACATTATTCTTTATGGGAAAAATTGCTTTGGTTGTCAGCAATTTTTGGTTGCCCAATTGACATCTAGAACAAATTACATTTGAAAACCGAGGTTCCACTGTATTAATATTATTTTTTAAATATCAGTTAACTCAAACTTGTTAATTTTATTTTTAACAAGTTACTTTCATATACAGCAAAACCCCTGTATCCACTGATTCGTTATACATTGTTTCTGTTATCCACGGTTTACCATGGTCAAAAAATACTCATTTTGTATAATAATGGCTCCAGAGCACAAAATCGAACAGGTGGCAGTTCTTCAAAGCTTAAAAGAAGCTGTAAAGTGCTTTTCATCATTAAAAAAAAGTGATAATTCTCCACATATTGTGCATAATTTATCAATTAAACTTTATAATAGGTATGTATAGGACTTCAATATAGGGTTTGCTATTATCCATGGCAGGTACTTGGAACTTATCCCCCGTGGATACAGGGGTCCTGCTGTATAATAAACTGCTCTGCTTTTCTATCAAATTAACCCCCTTCCCTAGAGAAACCTGAAAACTTTCCCGAACCCTTGCAAGGTGTTCAGCTGGCTGGTGCTGTACATGGGCTAAGCTCAGTTTTGTACAGTATATTCTGGATAAATGAGCATCAACTGTGCATAAAATTAGTGCCATGAATTACTGCAGTAATGGTACCCAAATTATTGTTCCATTTATTATATTATTTTACATTACTATATTCTTAACCCTATAGCCTTCTTGTATTCATTAATGAACTCATTTTTTGTTGACTCTGACACTGCTGTAAGGCCAAGTATAGTCAGAGATCTGTGTTTTGTAGGCTTACTCTTGGTTTTCCTCATGGAACAAACCTGAGAGCTCTATTTCTATTTCCCAAGGGAAGTGAGGCACTCAGATGTGAAGCAGTGTGGCTCAAAACTTGGCAGAGGATGGTTTCTAGCTATTCACCATTGCTTGTAAGTAGAAATGATGACTGTTTGGACCCTCAAAAATTTATACGAAAAAAAATCATTAACCCTTTCACTGTCAGTCCCATAACATTACGGCTTTGAAGCCAGTGTTGGTCCCATACTACTACTCCAAAATTTTAGCGGCTTCCAATCTTGTGGGAGAAAGCTGGTAGGCCTACATATGATTGAATGGGTCTGAGTAGTCAGTGTGTGCAGTATAAAAAAAAAATCCTGCAGCACGCAGTGCATAATGAAAAAAAAACTGCGACCATGTTTTTGGTTTAATATAGCGACTTTGCAGAGTATTTTAGTATAGTATTTATGGTTTTATTCTAGTTTTCTTGGTCTCATTTGATAGCATGGGAGATATACTACAGAAATAGTGATGATTTCGAATGGTTTACCAACTATAAGTAGCTTGAAATTGAGCTCTAACTTGTGGAAATGTTCGATTTTTGACAATGCTCAAATATCACGTCATGCGTCCAATACACGTCAACTGATGGGTCTAACATGCTTTCATAAATGCGCTATTATTATTCATAGTACTTTTTACAATAACGCAGTAGTCTGCATAACAGTAAATCTTCTATTTTTTGTGTGAATCAAAATTCAAAATGGAAAGCAAGCATAATATAAGAGGGGAATGGAGATGTGACTAATGAACAGAAAAATTTTTATTATAGTGCTAGGAATGCTGCACTGTTTATTTTAGACCCTATTTTGAACTTGGCCTTTCTTGAATTTTTGTGTGAAGTTGGCCAAATTACCAATCTGATCACTTTACTGGGTAGTTGAAATAAGTAAATGGGCAGTTTCTTGTACTCAATCAACAGAACAAAAGGAGTACTAGTGAAATTGCTATGAATACAGAAGACTGGAACAATGGAATTGGCCCAAAATAGGGGTCAAAATGGGCGAAAGCGCCGATGCGCAAAT